GCGGTGGCCGGGAGCGGCCACTGCAACTCCATCCAGTCTGGGTGACAGAGAGACTCCAATTAAAAAAAAAAAAAAAAAGTGTATACATTTTTTGGCAACGCAGTAGAAACATGTGGTGTGAAGCGCTTCTGTCTCCTGAGTGAGTATCACCAGATACGACACAGGGCGTTTGGACACTCTGAGTTCTGGGTGAGCCATGAGTCACTTTTTAGTGCCCGCCCCGCAGAGGGCACCTTGTCCTGGATCTGGCATCTGACCTTGAACTTCACCGGTGTCTTTATGTCACATTCCTCCTCCAGTTTTCCTGTTGTGGGAAAATGCATCTGGGACTGCGGCCCAAACTTGGCCCCAGAGTCAGCAGGGAACAAGGGCGTGAAGGAAGGTGGGTGGGCTGGGGAAGGCGCGCCCTATGGGGCGAGCGTTGCCATCCTGAGGGACCTGGCTCTGGCTTGTCTCCTTCTGTGCCCAGGGGCCTTGGCGGAGGCTCTTCTAAAGGGAGACGGGAGGTTGGGGTGCAGGAAGGGGAGCACACTTCATCAATAAGGATCCCTGATCTCAAACCAGGCAAAGTGGGGACCGAAGTGAGGCCCAACCTTTACCTGCACAATGACCATTTGTAGACCTAACCCTGAATTGTATCCCACGTCTTTACATAAATAAATAAAGGGAGACCCAAACCCCACGTCCCCAAGGACCAGGCGCAGCAAGCCCTGGAGCTTCTTGTCAACAAGACCTGTCCCGCTGGGATCTGTCTGGGGCCAGGGGCCTGGGGAGGACACTGGGGCCAGAGGGATGCGTGGCACCTCATGGCCAGGGCGTCTTAGAGCCCCCAGTCTCTCCCTGCCCACCTGCGGCGCACCTGGAACCTCAGACCCAAGGTCTGGGACCCTCTTCCTTCACAGGCCCCACCTTCCACTCCCAGAGGTAACACCGCCAGAGGACCTGCCAGGATGGGGCCGCAGTCCCTGCTTAGCCGAGGGAGAGGAAGGTAGGGTGGGAGGGCAACTGGCTCACTGATGACCTCACTTCTCTATGAATAAATTGCAACAACCTTCCTCTGTTAATGCATCTATTCATTAGAAGCAAAGCTGCAGATGCACAGTCGCTAAACTGAAACCTATGTTGTAATTGCAAAGGAGTCACTGGCAGCCACTGTGGTTGGTTTGTGACTGTTTAAGAACACGTGTATAAATATCACACTAGACATGATTCCCTATTACAACACGTTCCCAGAGGTCACCTCTGAGTGTGCGATGACAGGTGAGTTTTGCTTTATGGCTCGGACGGATTCCAGTCTATGTTAACTACGATATTCCTTTCATAACAACCCCAACAACAAAAAGTTGAAACAAAAACCGTCCTTAACTTGGAAAAACATCAGAAATTCAGGAGGGCTGGTGGGGGAAGAGGTGTGAAAAGTTAACACAGTAAAGTGAAAACCATAGGCTTGAGATGGCCACTCCTCTTTCTTTCCTTTTCCTTTTTTTTTTTTTTTTTTTTGTATGTTGGAAAAACTCATAATAAAATGTCGGGGAATGTCGTGGTGGTTCACGCCTGCAATCCCAACATTCTGGAAGGCTGAGGTGGGAAGATCGCTTGAGCTCAGGAGTTCAGGACCAGCCTGGGCAACATAGAAACATAGAGAGGCTGCGTCTCTACAAAAAAATAAAAACAGCAGTGGTGGTATGTGCCAGTAGTCTCAGCTACTCAGGAGGCTGAGATGGGAGGATTATCCGAGCCAGGGAAGTTGAGGCTGCCGTGAGCTGTGATTGTGCCTCTGCACTCCAGCCTGGGTGACAGAGTGAGAATGTGGCTCAAAAGAAAAAAAATATTGGGGCAATCTATAAGGCATCACGTATCACCTTGGAGTAACCACAAAAAACAGTTTCTGACACTTGCCCCACTGTGCTCTTTGCAGACTGCAGTTTTGGAAGGTTGGATAGACAACTTTGCTTCAAGCAAAAACAGAACCGGGCTCGATGGCTCAGCCTGTCATCCCGCGCCTTTGGGAGACTGAGGTGAGTGGATTGCCTGAGTCCGCGGGTTTGAGACCCGCCTGGGCAGCGAGACCTC